TGTGCAACCATTCTCACCCTCCTTTTATGGATTGTTCCTATCCCACTAACATAAATTCACTGCCTGCTATGGTTCCTGTTTAAGGTTTCTAGTTGCTGTTGTCAATTTGATCCCATATAGATAGGTCTTAAAAGCGCATAATGCTCAAAGCAGATTTTTTCTTTACGAGTTAAACTGAACTATTGTTTAGTTTGAAGAAGATTTCAGAGGATATTTTTGGTTTAAGGTTTCAAGTTTATCTCAGGGCAATAGTCTCAAAGGTTTATCTAGCTTCCATGGCTCCAGAAAATCTGGATTCCGTGCGAATTTGAAATTCTGTTCTGCATATCTCCTTTTTTATCAGAATTCTTCTACAGAGTTGTGGAAGTTTTTCATCTATATTATGGAGGCAGTAGAGCAAGACAAGGAGTCCCTGAGTGTTGCAAGTGGTTAAGTGCTAAACTACTAGATGAAAGGTTAGTTCCAACCCACCCTGGGGCACTTCAGAAGACAGTCCTGGTGATTTGCCTTCAAAAGATCACAGCCTTGAAAACCCTGTGGAGTCTAGTTCTACTCTGCACACACAGGGTTGCCAGGAGCCAGATTGATGTGGTGGCAACGAATAACAACAGAGCATGGGTTGGAGGCAGATTGCCCAGCCCTGTGTTATTCGAGATGTGTTCCTTCAATACATTTCTTAACCTCCCTGGGCCACAGTTTCCTCTTCAGGAAAACGGGAAAATAATAGAATCTATCTCAGAGGTTTGTTGTGAGAATTAAATGAGTTAATAATGCATGAAAAACCCCTAGCAATGTGCCTTGCTACTTATAAGTGCATAATTACTAGCTTTTATTTTTATTATTATAGAACTTTTTCTAAGGATTTTATATCAGAAACTGTAGTCATATACTTCCCCACAACTCCATAACTTCATTTTTTTTAATGAGGTGTTTTATAGATTAAGCAGAAATCCTTCTAGTGGTACAAATGGTTAAGTGCTCAGCTACTCACTGAAACACCGTCAATTCAAATCCACACAGAGACTCCTTGGAAGAAAGGTATGACAATCTATTTCCAAAAGATCACAGCCATTGAAAACGCAATGGAACACAGTTCTACTTTGACACACATGGGGTCAACACAAGTCAGCATCAACTTGATGGCAACTGCTTTTTTGGGATTTTATAGATTAAGTACATTAACTTTGAACTTTTGTACTATTATATGCAGTATGAATTAGGAGAGCAAATAAATGTTTTGACCTAAAGAAATGAGTCCTGAAAATTTTATAGCTTAGCTTATATAGTGCCTACCAATGGAAGCAGCAGTCAAGAAGTTATACATTGTATTGCACTGGGGTAAGTCTGCTGCAAAAGACCTCTTTCAAGTGCTGAAGAGCAAAGATGTCTCTTTGAAGACTAAGGTGCCCCTAACCCAAGCCATGGTATTTTCAATCGCCTCATGTGCATGTGAAAGCTGGACAGTGAATAAGGAAGACCAAAGAAGAGTTGATGCTTTTGAGTTGTGGTGTTGGCAAAGAATACTGAATACCATGGACTGTCAGAAGAAGGAACAAATCTTTCCTGGAAGAAGTGCAGCCAGAATGCTCCTTGGAAGTGAGAATCATCTTACCTACTTTGGTCATGTTGTCAGAAGGGACCATTCCCTGGAGAAGGGTATCATGCTTGGTAAAGTGGAAGGCCAGAAAAAAGGGAAGGCCCTCAACGAGATGGATTGACACAGTGGCTGCAACAATGGGCTCAGGTATAGCAAGGATCATGAGGCTGGCACAGGACTGGGCAGTGTTTCGTTCTGTTGTATGTAGGGTTGCTATGAGTTGGAGCGAACTCGATGACACCTGATAACAAAAACAATGTGGATTTAGCCGTAAATGTATTCTTCACTTAGGAATAAGCAGATAAATTGAGTTGCAAATGAACTCAATGCACTGCCGTGAAGTCGAATCCGACTCATAGCAAGCCCCCTTGGAAACTCAAGGAGGTATCTCTACAGAAGTAGATTGCCCAACCTTCCTTCTGAGAAGTGGCTGGTGGGTTTGAACCGCCAGCCTTCTAGTTAGCAGTCAAATGCCTTAAGCACTACACCATCAAAGCTCCCGATAAATGAGTTAGAAGAACAGAAATGGGAATAAAATACTAGAAACTAAAATCTTCTAGATGTTTGTATTTCTGATTATTAGGTCTAAGAGAAACAGAGAAGGCTTTTCACTTGTTCTTTTGGATCCTGTCTGTGGATTTTAGAAATTCAGAAGCTACAATCACATTTAGAAAACATTAAATGCTCTCTCTATAAAACAATTAAATGTGTTAGTGCAGTAAGGAAGATTCACATGAAATGGGACTGTAGGGGCTACTCTAGATGTGGATAATTTCATACTGGAGAGTTTGGGCTTATCTTTAAACCACATGAGATAAGAATTTCGCCTGCAACTCTAAGGAGTGTGTGGCTAGCTGATATTAGGCCACTCTTCTCTTACATTCCCTTGTAATATAAAAATGACTCCTCATTAAGGAAATCTAGAATTAGGACCTGCCATCTTTTGGCAGAAAGGAGCCATTTTTACCTAATGAAAGTGTAGGCTTAAAGCATCTACTTTGCGGCTGGTATCCTCACACCATTTTGCTCACATTGATGATGACTTTAGTGTCTCACAAGGCAACACCAGCTTGTGTCTACCATTTCTGGGATCATTCAGTTTCTGAAACAAAAGATGGGAGAGATTGTTGAGCCACAATAAGTTGCAGGGCTCAGTATAGGAACAGAAGACTATAGGAAAGTAGGACCTGTGCACCTTGGTGGCATCTCATACCTTCATTCATTCACTCATTGATTCATTTATCCATTACACAAATATTTTTGTGTAAAGTGTGAGGGGTTCAGTGATAGACAAGGCAAAACCCTGTCTTCTTGTTAGATAGGTAGGAGACAAGTTCTGATTTGGGTGAAGGGAAAGGCAGTATACTAAAAGCTAATGACCAGCACAATAAAACTAAGGAAAAGACACGGAAAGGTACATAAGAGGTAGAAATAGCAAAGATAAACATTTTTACATACAAAATACTACATTATCAGTAGTAATAAATATTAATCTACAGATAGATACATAAGTAGCCAGGCTAAATGATCAAGTATGGATAGGCAAAAGGGAACAAACTCATGACCATATATAAATCTAGCAAATGATATTTCTACATACATATTTGTATTGCTAT